AAACAAGCTCATTTTTAAAATTCATAGCTCATAATTGTCTGGCATTTTTGTGTATGGATATTGAGAGTCAACATAGATCAGGCTCCATTGCACTCTGTAATGTTCCATCCACATAAACAAATATTCTACATTTAAGATGGCACTATCCAAACTAAGCCTGCCTGGTATTCCACAGCATTTTCTAGAATGTGGAATTGAAGATTGTGAGAGAAACTGTCAATATTACTGCAATCATTGCCACTTGAAATTGTGCGAACAATGCAGAAATGAACATCTTGAAAGTACAGAAAACGATGACCATGAAGTGGTCCTTTACCACCAGCGCAAGCGACAACTACCCATAGAAAAATGCAAAAGTCACAAAACTAAGGATGTTGATTTGCTTTGTAAAGAATGTCAGGTTCCACTTTGTTCTAAATGCACCACACTGAGGGATCATCAGGGGCATACATTTCTTGATCTAGAGACAATTTATGCAGAAAAATTTTCAATTTCCCAAGAGGAGGTAAACAAAATCCAGGAATATTTTCTTCCTACTTCAAAGGATTTAAAGAAAGAAATTAAAGAAAACGCCACAAAAATCAAGAAGGTAATGGACAACATAAGAACCTCCATGAGGGCTGAAGCTGAGTCCCTTAAAAGTCTGGTGGATAAAGTGCATACAGAGAAACTGGAACAGCTTGACCAGATGGAACACTCACTGCTAAAAGATTTATATTACCAAGATAAGGCATTCAGTGATTACATCAACTATCTCCAAGATCTTGTCAAAGAGTTCCATGACCACCTGTCCTCTACAAAAATTCAGGAATTAATTTCCTTAACTTCTGAGACATTAAAAATTCAACCTATACCAGAGAAAACAAATCCAGTCACACCAGAATTCATTGCTGGGCAATTCAGCAAAGATGACATCACAAAATTACTTGGCAGAATAAATGTTCCCAATGTAAAGAGAGAAGGCAGGAAAATACAGAAAATGAATTCCTCAACAATAAACAAATATTCAAGAGAACATATAAAACAAATTGCACAGAAATCTAACGTGAATCAAACACTGTCTCTATCTTCCTCTGTCACTGAGGTAAGGGAGTTCACTGTACCAGGAGTTGACCATGTAGGTCATATGTCACTAGATCAGTCAGACAGACTCTGGGTCAGTGCCTTAAGTGGAAATCTTCTTCAAACAGATCTACAGGGGAATGAGCTACAGAGGATACAAACCTTTAGCGGACGTGGTTATTACACAGTGACACAAGATGGGGATCTGATCTTAACAGACGAATACAAGAAAGTCATCAATAGGGTTACACTGGATAACAATATCACTGAATTCATTAAAACAGGAGACTGGGATCCAATTAGCATACACTCCTCCCACATCAATGGGGACTTACTGGTGGGGCTGGTGACAGAAAGAGAGGCTAAAGTCGCCAGGTACAACAAGAGAGGGAAAGAACTACAGAACATACAGAGATATAACAATAAAGAGAGACTGTATAGTCCATGCTACATAACAGAAAACATTAATGGAGATATCTGTATATCAGACGTTGTTAAAAAGGCAGTAGTGGTGGTGAATAAATCAGGAAAACACAGATTCTCCTACAAAGGTCAGGGGGTAGGGTTCTCTTTGTGGGGAATCTGTACTGATGTCCTTGGTCACATACTTGTGTGTGACGGTTACAATGTTCACCTCCTTGATCAGGATGGTCAGTTTTTGTCTCTACTTCTCACATCAAAACAAGCACCTGGCCCCATTAGTGTATGTGTGGATATTGAAAAGAATCTTTTTGTGGGACAAAGAATTAAAAACAGAGTTAAAGTATTCAAGTATCTCCACTAACTTTTCACCAGTGAATGCAGTGCACACATATAGATCAAACAATAACAATGTAGAATGTTCAATTAATCATGTTTTCTTCTTTTTAAAATAAATTTCAATTTAAAAAATACATACTCAGTACAATTTATTAAATGAATTATACATTCATTAAACATACCGGTAACATTTAGCAATTAAGAAGGATATGGAGATATCGAACAGTATTCAATATCAAAGTCCATTAAACAATAGAAAATAGGAGCAGAGCAAACACGGACCTCCGAAACATCAGAGGTTGGATCAGGTGCCATAGGTGAGCATCCCTTGCTAACTGTTCACATCCGCTCCCTGTCATGATCGAAAAGCAACGGAAAAATCCATCGTCAATTCAGTGTATAAATAATGGACTAACAATTGGTATGGAAAATGTCAGTCAGCATTTGACTAAATGATAAATTGTTTTTGCTGACAAGGTCGTTGTATAGACCATAGCACTTACGAAATGATGACTTTAAAAGAGACTGCTGATATTCTTGTTTCATCAACTTGCTTGTCAATAATTTACCTCGTTTTAGAAATTATTCACAAGTAGAGCATTCTCTTGCGTATCAAATCAACTGACTCAGAGATATATATACTCCGTATGCTGGTGATGAAGGTATATATTGCTGCATATGCAAGCAAGGGTAGTTGACAATACAAAAGTTTTCATCACATTTATCATTAAGCTTGGTTGTTATCTTACAATTAACGTATTTTTTCAAGCAAAATATCAAAGTATGAAATGAAAACAATGAAATTCAAACATACGAGGGGCATTTCAAAAGTCCTGACAACTCCAAAAATGACGTCAGACTTCCGCATGTTCAGAATACTGACCATAAAAATAACGTAACAAAAGACACAATTTGATCAAATTAAATTTCAATGACAAGTTTTGCTCATTACTTGGACGCTAGCAAACGAACACAGATGCCAGTTGGTGAAATGTTTATATAGACTATAATCTATCATAATGTGTTCTATTTCGCAGATCTTTTTTTGTTCTAAAATGGTTTAAGCGAGTATCAAACTTAGCATGTTTTTCGCTCAAAATATTGTGTAAAAAGACCTAACTGTGAGAAAGAAGACAAAGTTTACAATCAAAGAAAAAAAGATGCAAAAGAACTATATGCGGTATATTGCATATATTTGCCCCCACAAAAGTCAAATTTTGAAAACTTCCTGAAACTTGCTGAATTCAATAAATTGTTTCAGAAATATAAATTAATAGAAAATATTGTAGTGTCAAAACAGTGTATTCAATATTTTTGTTTTTATGACGTCAAAAACTAGTCAGATTTTATATCCTTTTGCAAAAAGTGGACAGAATGGACAAAATTTATTTGATCATGAATGCGTTGTTTGATAATGCCAAGCACTGGTTTCATTGACATATTAAAAATTTGTTAAATAAGAAAATCCTAAATTATTAGACAAGTTTTTAGACACATAGACCATGTGTTAGTTTCTTTAGTTTTGATAAAGATTTCATGTGCCAATGTATGTTCCATTGAAATTAAATGATCAAGGTATTTGATAGCAAACATAATAATTTTTGATTTGACTGGGAGTCTCCCGAGTTCAGAATAGCAGCCATTATTTGAAGTTTTGCAATGAACTCCTAAGATTTCTTTTAAAAAATTAATATGAAATTTTTCATAAGATGCTGAGCATAAATTTTTTATGACTAAGTCAATAACCCAAACTTCGCTGCCGTAAGCAAAATGGGGATTATCATAGTATCAAATAATTTTTCAAGCAATTGACAGGAATTATGTAAACCGAGGGATTTCTTTACTTTGAATAATGCTTTTCTGGCTTTATCAACTAACCGAGCTGCAGCAAGATTAAATTTGCCATTACATTTAAGATTTATACCAAGATAACAATATTTGTCGACAGTTTCAATACATTAAAAAGGTTTTACCATTAGAATTAAATATCAGAATTTTTGATTTGGACGTATTAATATCCAGCTTCCAATTAACACAATAATATTCAAGGGTATTAAGGCTACATTGTAGACCATCAGGACTACTTGACAATAAAACTAAGTCATCTGCATATAACAAACAGTGTATTTTTGTGTCCTTTACCAATATCGGATCAGAATTGATACTGTTTAATTCATCAACAATTTTGTTTATGAAAATGTTAAAAAGCAAGGGACTTAATACATCACCTTGTTTGACACCCCTTTCAGATATAAAGGGTTCACTTAACCCCTCATCAAACTTTATTTTGTTCATGGTGCTTGCATACATAGAATAAATCACATTGAAAATTTTCTTTGGAACACCATTTTTTAGAAGTATGTAAAATAGACCTGTTCTCAAAATAGTATCAAATGCTTTTCTCAGATCAATGAATGTTGCATAAACTTTTTCTTCTTTTTGAGTTTGTAATGCTCAATTATAGATTTTATAGAAAATATATGATCAGCTGTTCTGCTGTGTTCCATAAAGCCAATTTGATTTTTGCTAATTTGATTATTATCTAAAGTTAATTTGATTAATCTCAAATGTATGATTTTATTAAATACTTTTCCCAAGTTTGAGCTTATTGATAATCCTCTATAATTGTTTGGGTCAGATTTACTACCTGTCTTATGCAATGGGACAATAAAAGTTTCGTTCCATATTTTAGGGAACTCCCCTTTTTCAAATACAAAATAAAAAAGTTTGGTAAGTGACTCGAGCAAAGTATGTGTACTATTTTTTATCATTTCATTTGATATTAAATCAATAGATGGAGATTTACCATTTTTCAAAGATTTAATGGTTTAAGTATTTCACTATACGTGATTGAGCTATTCAGTACATTCATGTCAAAATATGACTCTTGTTTCTTTTTTAGCTCTTCAAATTTTTGAATAATTTCCCTTTGAAATGCATTTAAGTTTGAATTATCCAAAGACAGTTTTTTAGAATGATCTTTAAACTTGTCATGAGGTAATACATTCTCATTTGTGCACTTTGATGAACGATCAAGTTTGTTTATTAATTTCCAAAATGATTTATGATTTGAATTAAGAGAGTTCTCAAGCTCAGTATAAATCTTTTGTTTGCATTGTCTGTGCTCGTATTTACATAGACGTCTGAAACGTGAACGTAATGAGTAAAACGCTTTTCGATATTCAGCATTAGAAGGGAATTTGTTAACTAATTTTTCATAGTTTTTGACTGAGATTTTTAGTTCTTCGCATGAATCTGAAAACCATGGTTTTTTGTTATTATTTTTTTTTTATTTTCTACAACTTACTTGTTTATTTCTCCTTTTAACAAATTTGGCTGACATGTTGGCTGTTTCAATTAGAATTGAGTTAACTTCATCCACCATATCATTAACATTATCAATATCTTTTCTCATGAAATTGGTAATTTTACTTTTTATAGTTTCACTTTGAATGTTAGACTTGAATAACATAATGGCTTGATCTGTCCAAATGAATTTGCCTGGTAAAGGGGAAAGATTTGATGATGTATTGGTACATTCTGTGTTACACTTAGAAATTAAACCACATACAACAGGACAATGATTTGACAAAGCAATAAAATCCTCTACTTGAAAAAATCCTACAGATTGTAAAAGTTCATTTGATTCAATGGTATAATCTACAAGGCTACACCCATTATAAGTAAAACATGTTGGTCTACCAAATAAATCACATGTAGTTCGACCATTCAGGATTCTTAAACATGCTTCTTTACAAACATTAACAAGTCATTAATGGTGTTTCCCGCATTTGTATAAGCCTGATAGTACACCCTTTATTTATAGAATATGACGCAGACAGGGATACCTAATGAAAACTTACGCATATTTTAACCAAATGATTAATCATCGAAAACGATATAAAGTATTTTAATATAATTAATTTTTGACAATTTCAGATAACTATGATATTAATTCAGTGTTTGTATTGCCTCAAAGGTGATTGCGCAGACGTACTATATTCTAACTCGTTAATTTAATTTGGCGGTGAAGAAGCAGCATTTTCTGTTGCTCACCGTCGCAATAGCCGGGCATTTCTCTACGAGAAATGAGCCCGGCTAAAAAGATGTTTACCACTAATATTTGTTCTTTTGCTATCTAGATTATTTCTAGGCAAATTTACATCATATTTATAGAAAAATAATTCCCTCATATGATAAATATAAAAACCGTTCAGTTTATATGGAGAATATAGTAATACTGAGGTATCCCCTTAAACAAAGACAAACTGTAGCAAAAGACCACCCTCAACCAAAGTAATAACTTTTGAATAATTTTGTTTGGATATGAATGCATTTCATAACATTTCCTATAGTATAAGTAAGGTTGGGGAAAAGAGTGTTGCTACGCCCCTGATAGATACCTTTTACATTATATACATGTATAATAAAATAATAAAAGCAAACATAGGAAAAAATGCACAGAAAGAAAAAAAAATGATTTGGTTTGAAACACGCACTGTGAGTCCCGAACTCACGATCGTTACATTTCCAATCCAGCAATCATACCACTACGCCACGAAGTCATTATTTTACGTAGGATAAAATTAAGGCAGATTGTTGAATCTTACAATAATTTGAGAAGAAAAATAAAAAAACATATTTTCCACATTTTCAATATGAAGGCCACCTTTAACCAAAATCATCTAACTGTTATGAAATGCATTCATATCCAAACAAAATTATTCAAAAGTTATTACTTTGGTTGAGGGTGGTCTTTTGCTACAGTTTGTCATTAATTGTTTAAGGGGATACCTCAGTATAACTATATTCTCCATATAAACTGAACGGTTTTTATATCTATCATATGAGGGAATTATTAATATTTAAATATTATTTTTGTGTGATTTGCTTTAAGGCGTGTTCAAAATAATATGATAACAAAAGTTGGGTTAAACAATGTATTTTTTTATCACAATGATGGGAAGGGTTGATTATATCTCATGAGAATTATGTCATGAAATATATCACAAAAACTTTTCTTGTTTTTAAAAGAGTGATTTGAATTATGACTTAAAAAGAAATTGTATGAAGTTGAAAGATGTAAAAAGAGAGAATGAATCAGAGTAACTCATTCAAAAACACAAAATTCAATCCAAAATAATTTTGCATCCCTTGACCAAAAGCTAATACAGTGTACAGTATCGTCCATTCTAACACAGAGTCAGGGAATTGCTTTATTAGGTGACTGACTGGATATGATCAAATAGCATTAATTCATTGTATTAAATGCAATAAAATTATTTCATTCTAAATAAATTTTATTTCCTCTTACCATAGCTTTGCACTGGGAAAATTTGGCAATTTCATTTATAAATGATATCTGGCCCATAAAAAGAGAAATAAAACTAAAATATGAACACAAACTAAAAATATATGAAGTACCAGCCTATGCAATATTATGGCTACTGATTAGACTGTAGAACTCTTTAAGGTTAGAAATGACACTGAATTTAATGAATAGTCAAGTCCTTCTTAAGTTCCCTTGTACTTAACACTATGGCTGTGGAAAGCACATGTCCCTGGCGACGTAATAAAGTATCACTCTTTTCACTTTCTTAATTAAAATTTATTTATTATAACAATTAAATTTCATTATTTGACTGCATTATTTGCTGAATTAAAAGATTTAGGAACTTAAAAACAATGAGTTCCCTACCAAAATTGTGAAATCTATATGGCCTCTAGGTTCAAGTCCCAGGGTTCGGTTACAAAATTTGAACTTAGTCACATATTGAAATTTTTTCACATCATCATTGCTATGCTGTTCATGAGAAGAATATTTTAAAGATTTTTCAGTTAGGTCCCTACCCCCGGGGGTCATGATTTAAACAAACTTGAATCTTTACTACCTGAGGATACTTTCCTGGTCCAGTGGTTCTTGAGAAGACTTTTAAAAGTTGCCATTAATTTTTTAACTAATAAATTCATGATTATTTCCGCCTTGGATGAGGGCAGTGGCCTTATAAAGTGTCCCAATGGTTCTTGCGAAAAAGATGAAAATCTGAAAATATTACGAAGACAACAACAACAAAGAACGGACAGATTTTGATCAGAAAAGCCTTTGTTTCGGGTGAGCTAACATGAGTTTCTGGGGGGGGGGGGATTCTCAGAGACATTGATCTTCAATTCGATTTTTTATGTGATTTAGTGTCGCCTTTTCTGGGGTCAGGGACACATTTACCAAGAAAAAAAGTTTGAGAATGTTCCATACCAAGGTGCACCTAAGGAAAATATAAATGAAGTAGAACATATTGTCTTTATTGCAAGACAAACAACCAGAAATCCAAATACATGTACACATATAACATATAACATATTCAGTAAATTTGGTCTTAATATGTAGCAAAAGCTCTAAAAGAAATGAAGAAACTACCAGGCATACAAGTCATAGTGCAATTTTACGCATGGAAAGTATTGATATACACATGTACTAGAATGTATACATCTGATGCAGTAGCCAATCTAATGCAAGAAGCAACCTTATTTGAAATCCATATAGTGCAAAACTGTACATCAATTCACAAAGTGGAGGTAACGGAATCATCAGGACAGGAAGGATGGACCAAGAAGCAATAGAAAAGAGAAAACCGATTTGGATATGAAGCTAATGAAAGTGAAAGAAAACAAGGGCAATGCAAAGCAGAACGTCCCCTCCCAAGACAGCCCATTTCTGTTACAAACAAACCAGCAAATTGCATAACATTACACTGTACTAAGCTTATAGTGTACATAATCTACTGAATATTGAACAAGCATTTATGTAAATTAAACAAAACAACTGCATTTTTATTTAAATTAAAACTATTTCGAAGAAAGATTGATAAACTTACAATCACTAAATTAAGAGATGGGAAAACCTGAACTCTTTCTGGTATGTATGATGAGATCTTTCTTTACAATAAAGTTCAAATCTGTTTATTTTGGTAGGTGTAGTTCAGAATTAAGTGATGATATAAAAACTGTCTCCTCTGCAACTAAGTTAGAGAAATGTCCATTTTTAAAAGGGCTATTTAAAGAACAAACTTATGAAAACCCTGTTATTGGTTTCTGAGAATTTAAAGATAAATAACACACACAAAAAAACTTTTTTCTTGGAAAATAATTATCTTTATGTATTAAGATGCCTTTCTCATTCAAAAAGAAAAAATATAGCTGACAATCTAACAACATTATGATTCAACATTTCACCAAAATTTGGGAGAATTCATGTTTTCTAGTTCAATACTTTTTAAATTTTTTAAATTTATTTTCCTTCCATCTCCATGAACAATTTGTACATGTATATATAAAGAAGCTAATTTTGCATTTCATTCTATATGATCAAATATTTTAAAACCGAAAATTGTAGTTTATGTAACTATAGAACGAAGTCTGGGAGATTAACTGGCTAATCAAAATATAAAAATTGTAAATCTCCTGGACTTTCTTTCTACAGTTTCATTAACTACAATTTTCAATTAACTGCAAATTTTGGGGAAAATTGTAGAGCTAACACCATGAAGTCTTTTATGCAGAAAATAAGAAAAGTTGTTTGTGGTATACATTGTTAAAAACTACTAAACCTTTCTTTCTTTTCAAAATACATACTCCAATAAACTCTATTTTAACATTTAATTTCAAACAGATGAAAAAGTTAATTTCTGGGTTTTGTTCTCCTCAAAATGTACATAAACATAATAAGACTAATTGATTTGTTAAACCTTAGTTTAATTCAAGCAAGAAACATGTATTGCACTTTGCATGTAATAAGGGGTTGTAACATCTCACACTCAAATTTTTAACCAATGTTACTGAAAAAGTCCAAATTGGGTTTTTTAAGTACACTTTTTAAAGAACGCTAATTAATCGTCAAACTCTGTAATTTCATAATCATCATCCTCTTCCTCGGGTTCTGTAACAACTTTTGATTGGCTGCTAGTAATCTTGTCCTCTTCCATCCTCGTAGACCATGTGTTCCTTACAGAAGCCTCGTTCTCTTGTGAGTTGTTGTCTAAACCCGAGTCTTTCTCATCCAACTTCTCTGACCTGAAATATATGGAATAGTTTGTCAGACAATTCCAACTTTATTTAATGAGCGGATAGGCATGTATCTGCAATTAAATATCCCTCTCTAATTTTTTAATGTGATATCCCCTCCAAAAAGGGGGAGAGAGCAACATTATTGCAGCTAGAAGGCATGAAGCAAAATCAGGCTATTATTTGCTTTACTGTTTATGTAGGAATAAAGTCTGTGAGTCAGTCAGCTTAAATCATCTTTTAAAAATGCAATTCAGCATTAAAGCCCAAGACCAAATACAAATATATACACAGACACAAACTGAATTTTAAACAAACAGACATCTTTCAACAAAAAGGTACTTTTCTATTTTTTAAGCACTTTCTGCAAAGGAAACTGTTTCTTGGAAATATATACAGTTATATTCAGATAGAAATCTGTACAAAAACTTTCGCATATTTTTTTTTGAATTTATACAAGCACAAATAACAGGAAATCCATGAGTCACAGTTTTCCCTTTATTTAAAAAAAAAAGGTTAGAGGTCATTTATTACAAACTGGGTGTTAAGGTTTATGATAAATTCCTATGTCCCTTTAATCAAAGATTATAGTTTTCCCCCTGTCCATCGGTCTGTCTGTCTATTCGTCTGCAAAAACCTTGCCCATTATACCTTTTAATTGGTAGGAGCTAGAGCTTCCATATTTCAAATATTTATTCCTTATGATAAGACCTTCCTTTGAGTAACAATGTTTTGATTTCTTGATCTTGAAGTTTGACTTACTTTTGAGCAGCTTAAACATTCGCCATTAACTGCCATACGGGGACATAAGTGTTTCACAAACACATTTTATTCAACAATAATCATTTTATCCAATATATTTGGGGATAATAATTCTTGGTTCAGCATACAATGTTAAATATGTGGAAGCTTAAAGAGAACAATAACATTAGAAAATACAGGTAAACAAATCCAAAATGACAACCCTGATAGAAACAGTTTGTCTAAACATTGTAAACTGGTTAATGAAGGGTAACTGATAGGGCTATCTTTCCCTCTTTAATCCTTTTATATTCGTATTATATGGTAAATGCAAAAATTGCAAACCTTAAATTTATATTTATATCACACAATTAATGCCAGTTAACACAAACGCAATGTTTTCATTTTATTGTTCAGAAATTTTATGCCCCTTAAATCTTCATAGTGATACCTAAAACTGTTAAGAAACAGCAGTGCTTTTAAACATTAAAAAAAAAACCTCTTTGATATGCTGTTAAACTTTTAATGAATACACTATGCGGTATATATATTGTTTGACTACCTTTGGGGGATTTAACCTTATTTACAACCAGGAAGTAAATTAAAGATCTCGTTAAAGTCTCACGTGAATTCCTTGACATTCCACAAAGTCTATTCGCAAGTTGATATTGCCATTTCTAGGTCAAACATAGAAACTGTAAGCATTTGAACCTTGAAACCAAGTTATCTTTTAAATTCAATCTTAGAAAATGTACTACATTGTAGTATTCAATATATTTAATCAAACATAGCTCATCTTGGTCTGGTACTTGTTTACAATATTTTCATGAATGCATGTATTTTCATGTTTACATATTGAGCAGCATAAATAATCAGGTGTTGTTGTCAATGCTATCTTTGTACTTATGTATAACTGTAGTATTGCTTCACTCGATAACAAATCTCCTACATTTTAGTTGGCACTATTCAAATCAATGCTATCATTATACTATATGTATAACTGTAGAAGTACTTCACTCAATAACAAATCTCCCACATTTTAGATGGCACTATCCAAACTAAGCATGCCCGGTACTCCCCAACATTTTCTAGAATGCGGAATTGAAGATTGCGAGAGAAACTGTCAATATTACTGCAATCCTTGCCACTTGAAATTGTGTGAGCAATGCAGAAATAAACATCTGAAGAGTCCAGAAAACGACGACCATGAGGTGGTCCTTTACCAACAGCGCAAACGACAGCTACCCAAAGAAAAATGCAAAAGTCACAAAACTAAGGATGTTGATTTGCTTTGTAAAGAATGCCAGGTTCCACTTTGTTCCAAATGCACCACACTGAGGGATCATCAGGGACATACATTTCTGGATCTAGAGACAATTTATGCAGAAAAGTTTTCCATTTGCCAAGAGGAGATTAACAAAATTCAGGAATATTTCCTTCCTACATCAGAGGATTTACAGACAGATATTAAAGATGATGCAACAAAAATCAAAAAGATCATGGACAACATAAGAACCTCCATGAAGGCTGAAGCCGAGTCCCTTAAAAGTCTGGTGGATAAAGTGCAATCAGAGAACATGAAGCACCTAGACCAGATAGAGCACTCACTGCTAGAAGATTTAAATTCCCAAGATAAGGCATTCAGTGATTACATCACCTATCTCCAAGATCTTGTCAAAGAGTACCATGGCTATCTATCAGCTACAAAATCACAGAAATTAATTTCCTTAACTTCTGAGGCATTAAAAATCCAACCCATACCAGAGACAACAAAGCCATGCCCACCAGAATTTACTGCTGGGCAGTACAGCAAAGAAGACATAACACATTTACTTGGCAGAATAAATGTTCCAAGAGTTAAAAGAGAAGGCAGGAAAATAAAGAAAATGAATCATTTAACACTAAACAAAGATTCAAGAGAACATACAAAACAAATTGCACAGAAATCTAACATGAAACAAAGATTGTCTCTATCTTTCTCTGTCACTGAGGTCAGGGAGTTCACTGTACCAGGTGTTGATGGTGTATGGCATATGTCACTAGATCAGTCAGGTAGACTCTGGGTCAGTGATCTTATTGGTAACCTTGTCCAAACGGATCTACAGGGGAACCATCTACGGAAGATAGAAACCAGAGGTGGACATGGTTACCACACAGTGACACAGAACGGGATTATGATCTTTACAGACGAATACAAGAGAGTCATCAATAGGATAACAATGGATAACAATATCACAGAATTCATTAAAACAGGAGACTGGGAACCAATCAGCATACACTCCTCTCACATCAATGGGGACTTATTGGTGGGGATGGCGAAGAGTGGAGAGGGTAAAGTCACCAGGTACAACAAGACAGGGAAAGAACTACAGAACATACAGAGGGATGACAAAGGACTGGGACTGTATAGTTATCCAAGGTACATAACAGAAAAAATCAATGGAGACATCTGTACATCAGACTGGGGTAAGGCAGTAGTGGTGGTGAATAAATCAGGACAACACAGATTCTCCTACACAGGTCAGGGGTCACTGTTCAATCCCTATGGAATCTGTACTGATGTCCTCGGTCACATACTGGTGTGTGACGATTACAGTATTCACATTCTTGACCAGGACGGTCAGTTTTTATCTCTACTACTCACACAACAGCAAGCACGCCATCCAATATGTGTAAATAAGGATAATGAAAACAATCTTTATGTGGGACAAGGTATTACATTTAATAACAAAATTAAAGTGTTCAAGTATCTCCAGTAACTTTTCGCCAATGAAATGCTGTGCATAGTTTTTACAATGGTGGTTTGGAGCTCTCCATTCTGTCAATATATTTTTTTTTTGGAGAGCTACAGTTCTGCTGCTACTGTTGTTTGTAATAATTATCAACGAATATGGCAACATATTATCATCATAGTATTTTCTTACCAAAGTGGTTTAGCTGAACATTATATTATGTCAAAAATCAAGCTGCTAAAAACAAGAGGCCCAGGGGCCACAGCGCTCACCTGAGCACATCAGCTAGGAAAAAGCACGTATCATGATTTGGACAAACTTGAATCTACACTACCTGAGGATAATTCTACATAAATATTACTAATCATGGCTTTGAAGTACTTGAAAAGAAGATTTTAAGGGGGGACCTATGTCGTTCTACGTCAAAGCAGCGTTATGTGACGTCACAATGGAAACGTTTGTTTTTTTATTTGTTGACTTATTCAATAGTGAGATAGGTATAACATTGTTTATAATCAATAATATAAACAATTTACAAAAAGAAAATTTATTCATCATTAATAACAGTCTTATTTGATTAATGGAGTTTGTTAATATTAAAATTCTCTTCCTATGGTTGATAATTCATAGCAATTTCAGTTGTGAACAAATACCTCGATGTTATGCTGATATATAAGTGCAAAAAGTCAGCAAAGAAAGTGGCTTAAATCATGGATACATGTTTAATTTTACGTTTACATGTACCATTAATTGTATTTTCTGGATAAAACTAAGAAAAAAAAATTAGACTAGAACTGTCCAATAGGGACAAATACCCCCCGCTGGGTTTTTCAGAGAAGGTGCCAATTCAAAAATACTTTATGGATCTAGAGATGTTCACAATTTACTTAAAAAAATTTGCAGTGAAAAAAAATTGCTCATCATGTTTCTTTATGAATGAAACGGAGGTGCAACCAAATGAAACATCAATACTAATACATTGTAATTCCATCGAACATTATACATTTATTGACTGAGTTCGAGGGCAACATGCGTTTTGTCGGACCCATGAACCAAACTGTCTGCCTGAGGCCGTTAGGCCGAAGGCAGACAGTTTGGTACGAGGGTCCGACAAAACGCATTTTTGCCCGAGAACTCTGTCAATAAATGTTTTGTTATACCTTTCATTTTATTTTAATTTTTTTTAAATTCATGTATTTTGTGCTGTATTCCGTGATGTAACATCAGATCTGTAACTGTTTAACACCAACGAATGAAAATGAGATTAAGCTCCGCCCATTCTGTGACGTAAGCGGTCCAACATCTCTCTGAGTGGTCCAACATCTCACTCAGCGGTCCAACATCGATTTTTTTTATGCCCGCTCAGCAAAACATTAAAAATGTTGGACTTTTTTCGTATGGATTTGAATAGGAACTAATTTGTAAAGGTAAAACAATATTTTTTATTTTTATCATTTAATTTATAATTTAATTTATATTTTAATTTAAATTTTATTATTTAATTAATCATTACTGCATTAAAAAAAATATATTGCAATTATGTGTTATGTCACTCTGCAAACTGATTGTTAAAAAAAGAAACCATTATACAAAATCAAATTAATCTTGATATATCAATTTGAAATGCATTTTGAAAATAAAGAACTGGTCATCCAGTAATGAAGTGTTTTGACAGACAATAAATTACAATTAAGAGAATAAGAGAAGAGAGATCTTTAATTCTTGTGCCTTATTCTCTGAAGATTTGATAACACACACACACTTGATAAGAGATATTCCTAAACAACTTCCAACACCAAACTCATTAATTTATCTTTAACTGGATGCATGTCCAGTCATTATTCCCAAGAGACAAATGAAGCTACATTATCTTCTGTGCAATGTAAAAACTGTTTTTAACACTTGATGTTTCTTTTTTTTCAAGTTTTTATGAGTAGTTTTAAGCTGTAGTTCATGTTTTTGTACAGATATTCTAGATTCTATGTCTCAAACCTTATACATGAGCCCAAAATGAACAAGTCAATTAAAATTTTAAAAAACCTGTAAAATGCAGAAAAATGAACAAAAAAAGTTGAAAATTCCAGGTGCACAACTTCATATGGTGAATAATAATTGTACAAATTTTCAGATTAATCCTTGCAATAGTTTCTGAGAAACGGTCCAAACAAAACCCCAAAATAAAAATGAAAAAACACCTGTAAAATTCAAAATAATTATCCAATCAAGATGAAAAATATCAGGTGCACAACTTCATATGGTGAATAATATGTGTACAAATTTTCAGACAAATCCTTCCAATAGTTTCTGAGTAATGGTCCGGACAAAGTCTCGTCTACAGACAGACGGACAGACAGACGGACAGACGGACATGGTGATTGCAATATACCCCCCCTAAACTTCGTTTGCGGGGGGTATAAAAAGTGCTTGTACGTATATTTGCTTATTGATATGTAGTACATGTAGATTTCATTGTATAAAGTCATTCCTAGATTCTAATAGGTGTTGGTTGTTGACGTGGACATAGGGGGGGGGGGGGGGGGTAGATTAGATTAGAAAGAAGAAAAGAATTAATCTGTTTAAATGGTTTTCTAAATCAAAACAAAATACCTTTTTTTTCGCAAAACAGTTTTATATTCAGATGTTTGTCAGTGTTCACTTACCTTTATTTTAGTGCAGAAAGGTAAAAATTTATGACACAAGAGTAGGAAAATAAAAGAAAACCTCATATTTCTCGTTTATTTTATCATAAAGGTATACTTTTTTCTTCGTTAAAATAAAAAGATAAATCGTTTCTTTCAAAAAATATGAATTACGACATTTTCACACAAAGACTTTTTAAGATATTCCCTGTTATGCATGTCAGAATTGTAACAAGAGGCCCATGGGCCACATCGCTCACCTGAGAAGCTTTGACCATTCTGTTCATTACCAGATTTCCCCCTTGTTATACATAATGCATCCCCACCCTACCCCTATGATCATAATTTAGACATTTTGAAATCTACACTACCCCATGATCCTTCCATGGGCACATATGTCTCAGCTTTTCTGGCCCAGTGGTTCTTGAGAAGAAGATTTTTAAAGGGGGTCATGATTTGAACAATTTACAATCTACACTACACCAGGATGCTTCCACATAAGCTTCCCTTTTTCTGGCCCAGTGGTTCTTGAGAATAAGATTTTCAAAGATTTTTCCTATATATTTCTATATAAAACTTTGATTCCCCATTGTGGCCCCGCCCTTCCCCCGGGGGTCATGATTTGAACAATTTTGAATCTACATTATACCAGGATGCTTCCACATAAGTTTCAGCTTTTATGGCCCAGTGGTTCCTATATATTTCTATGTAAAACTTTGATTCCCTATTATGGCCCCGCCCTTCCCCTGGGGGTCATGATTCCTGTAATTTAGAATTTACACTACCCCAGGATGCTTCCAAAAAAGTTTCAGCTTTTCTGGCCCAGTGATTCTTGAGAATAAGATTTTCAAAGATTTTTCCTATATATTTCTATATAAAACTTTGATTCCCCATTGTGGCCCCGCCCTTCCCCCGGGGGTCATTATTTGCACAATTTAGAATCTACATTATACCAGGATGCTTCCACATAAGTTTCAGCTTTTATGGCAAAATGGTTCTTGAGAAGAAGATTTTCAAAGATTTTTCCTATATATTTCTATATAAAACTTTGATTCCCCATTGTGGCCCCGCCCTTCCTCCGGGGGTCATTATTTGAACAATTTAGAATCTACATTATACCAGGATGCTTCCACATAAGTTTCAGCTTTTCTGGCCCAGTGGTTCTTGAGAAGAAGATTTTCAAAGATTTTTCCTATATATTTCTATATAAAACTTTGATTCCCCATTGTGGCCCCGCCCTTCCCCCGGGGGTCATGATTTGAACAATTTAGAATCTACATTATACCAGGATGCTTCCACATAAGTTTCAGCTTTTATGGCCCAGTGGTTCTTGAGAAGAAGATTTTCAAAGATTTTTCCTATATATTTCTATATAAAACTTTGATTCCCCATTGTGGCCCTGCCCTTCCCCCGGGGGTCATGATTTGAACAATTTAGAATTAACACTACCCCAGGATGCTCCCACATAAGTTTCAGCTTTACTGGCCCAGTGGTTCTTGAGAAGAAGATTTTTTAATGACCCAACCCTATTTTTGTCTTTTCTTGATTATCTCCCCTTGCGAGGGGATATGTCCGTTCATTTTAACAACTTAAATTCCCCTTCACCCAAGGATGCTTTGTACCAAGTTTGGTCAAAATTGGCCCTGTGGTTCTTGAGAAGAAGTCGAAAATGTGAAAAGTTTACGGACGGACAGACAGACGGACGGACGACGGACAAAATGTGATCAGAAAAGCTCACTTGAGCCTTCGGCTCAGGTGAACTAAAAAATACGACAAGAAAAACGGGTGATACTTACATTTTGCCCCTTCATAATTTTTCATGCGAAATTAATTTCAATGGATTTGCCTTCATTTTAAAGATTCATGTCATATAAATTGAATACATGTTGATTTCAAATGTGATTTGACATTTTTGGTTCTTTTTAGCGCATATTTGGAGTAGAACAAGAATGTCTGAAAATAATCTATTTTTAGCACCTTGCACTGTTTTTGTACGTGCTCCTGTGTAAAAATAAGCATATAAAGATATTGTTTTTAATACCTAACAAGAGGCCCATGGGCCACATCGCTCACCTGAGTACTGTAGGTATGAAAAAGTAGAAATTGCTTTATTATTGAAAAGTAAAAATCCAAAGTAATCCCATGATCAATCATGGATTTGCTATTCTTCAAAGAATTTTCCTATAAATTTCTATGTCAAACTTTGGTTGTATTTTGGCCCCGCCCTACCCCCGGGGGTCATGATTTGAACAAACTTGAATCTTCACTACCTGAAGATGCTTCCATTTAAATATGATGAATTATTGGTTTGTCATTCTTGAGAAGAAGATTTTTAAAGAATTTTCCTATATATTTCTATGTGAAATTTTGGTCGGCCATCTTGGCCCAACCCTACCC